AACTACACACGCTTCCTCCCGCAGTGCTATAAGGAGCAGAAATGTCGGGTTTGCTGCGCTTCCTCACGGAAGGTCCCAAACTTGAATCGATCTCCAAAAAATCGCTGGAGTTAGTGGAGCCGACAGCAATCACTTGAGGGGACGCAGCAGGAAAACTTGAATACGCTCAACCTTCACGGCCGTTGTTGCCATTCGCAAACACGGGATTGATTCCCGCTTCTCTCCACATTGTAATCATATCATCCAACCAAAACTCCCTGCGGTGCTTGCCAAAGTTGATCACATGAGGGGCCTTGCTGGAGTCGCAGTTGTTAACATCTTTGTCGTGGGAACAAAGAAGGAATTGAGCGCATTCGACGACCATACGCTGATTGCACGTGCCCTTGCACCCTTTGCACGCAATCCACTTGGCCTTGGGAGCGACACCAATACCTTGCGTTCCCACCATGGTGCCCATGACGTGAGTGCCGTGGCCCACCGGGTCGGTGGGCAGCTGGTTCGTCTTGTTGTACGGGTCGAACCAACCGTATTCCTGTCGCCAGTTCGACTCCAACGACTCATGTGTATGACGAACACCGGTGTCGATGTTGGCCACGACAATGCCTTCGCCCTTGATGTCATTGGCCCTTGGATCCCCCATTCGATGACATCATTGACCGGACTGGCTGGTTTGTCACCGCTTTTGGTTTCACTGAGTTCCATCACAACTGGTTCGTAAATGGATTTCACTTCCGGCAACGCCGCGATCTTCTGGACTAGGTCGTCGCGGGCGTTGTCGATGTACAGTACATGGAACAGTAGATCCATGTCGAGACCACTTCCACAGCCGTTGATTCAACTTGGTTGGCCAGGAGCGACTTGACCGACGCCTGAGACGTGGTGGTGTGCTCCTTCAACGAATTAACCAGCGACTCGATGGTTTCAGTGCGAGACGCGCCAACCTTGAGTCGGCGGCGGTGGGTGGCGAGGGCCTCGTCACAGTGAAATTTCACCACGACGTTCGACTGCTTGGCGACTTCCAAGTTGCGATGTACTTGGACCGAGATCTTGGCCGTGACGGCAGTGACGGCGAGGGCGGCGAGGGCAAGAAATTGGTACTGAACCATGATGTTGTTGGGTCAATGGAAATTGCAAAATGAGACCAACGGTGGGTGTAGCACGTGACTTGCCTTGCGTAACACGCTGGGAAATATGTATCAATCAGGTCAGCTGGCGAGGGCTTAATATGGCCGTCCATCGGGTCTGATTAATGCTGAAAATGTACTATTAATACGAAGTACCTCAAGAAACCTACGTGTCGAGAAAGAAACTACGGGGTTTCAACTGCGCGTGTTTAGCGAGCACAATGGGAAGACCAGTTTGGCTATACAAGTACAGTGATTACAGCGGTGTCAGTTGTCGTCATATTCACAGTCAACGACTAATCGTATTACGAGGATAGCTACAGATAAATGATATAGGGAGCTATATAATTTCTCTAAGTTTCTGGAGCCGGCAGCAAAATGGCCCTATGTGACAGTGTAACGGGAAGCAAAGCTAAAAAGTACTCCGGAGTAGTATTTTGGAGGGGGGTGCCCTACAAATATGTAATAGTAAAAATATCGACTGCAATGTATTGACTTGAATAAATTATACGGTTATTAAACTATGACTTCAATGTATTGAATTGAAATATCGACTTCAATGCATTG